TTATTTATATGCTAGATAATGGCATTGACAGTATCTAATAAATAAACTAAGTTACTTATAAAAATGAACATGTGCCAACTCTTGGGGAGACAGTTATTCTAAGTACCCTAAGAGTTCATGTCCTCTGCAAAGCCTTTGTAAGTTGCTAAATATAACACTGGGACCAGAAAATATAATTATCTCACATCACAAATAATCTAAAGACTCACAAAACACTTCACTAGGGGGTTATTATTTAAAATAGAGGCATTTTGAAGGACCAACATTTTATGTAAAATATGAGTTTAATCACTTTGAAATTTCTACAAATTCACTTTTTTCTATCTTGTAAAGAATCAGTGTTCACCAACATGATAAAAGAAAATGAGAAGTGTATGTGTGTGTGTGTGTGTGTGTGTGTGTGTGTGTGTGTGTTTAAACATAAAATAGTAATTATACTGTGTATCTGGGCAGCAGAAAGGTTAAATGTTCAATGTACTATTTTAAGAATAGGAACAACTGCTTTCTGTGTTGATGTGTTCTGAAATCCTAGTTAGTATGAGGAGTATTTCTAATTGCGAATGGCATATCCACTAAAGTTTTTGAAGTTCTCCTCCTTAAACACTTCTTAAGCCACTGTGTAGGCATCAGTTTACAGTCCAGGACACTCACTGGTGTTTCTATTTGGAATATTGCCTCGGATGGAAAGCGGAAACCCTAGATCCCTGTGAGTCAATGAACCCCTTTCTCTAAAAAACAGACTAGGGACTTCTTTTCTGCTGAGAAATAGTCATGTTAAAATTGCAATCTGATTGTTACAGGAGTCTTCAAAACTTTAGTTGAGGTTTACATGTTTCTAAATTTGTTTAGTCTCACAGTCCTGTTTACTTAAATCTGTAGGTAGTTTTGAACCAATAATAGAGTACTTGGATGGTTGCGTATCAAGACAAATAGATTTGACAACCACTTTCATTGTATAAAGTAACTACTCATAGAAGTATAGCAGTCTATAATTAAGAAAACTGGATGAGGAATTGAAGTTACTAGTGATAATGCCTTTTCTGTTCAGGAATTCTAGAAGTCAATTAGAGCTTGGGGCCCTTCTTAAATTCTATAACATGCAAGTGTCTCTTACATCAAAGAAAATTTCAAATCAAATCTGAATATTTTCATGCATAATAGTATGTGAATATTCTTATGGTTTGGAAAGTATGTTACATTTAAAAATATTTAAATAGCTAAGTAATCAGTCTCATGATTTTTGTTTAATCTGAGTTTTTCCTTTCAACATCTATTAGAAAATAATTATCAGTATTATACACAAAATATTGCTCACAGATGCATTGTCTGGATTTAAAATTTGACTTTAAAGCTGAAAATAAATATGACCAAAAAAAAGAAGTTAGATCACCAAGATCACATTGAGAAGGAGGTTAATGACATGAAGTAGCTTCAAAAGTGTCATATTAAGAATGAGTGACATGAAAAATTTATATGAATTCATATTAGGATGAAGTGACATGAAAAATTAATTAATTCCTTGTGCTTGTTATCCTATGGCATAGATAAAAATTTAAGTTGTGGGGCTGGAGCAATAGCACAGTGGGTAGGGAGTTTGCCTTGCACTCGGCTGACCTGGGTTTGATTTCCAACATCCCTGATGGTCCCCCGAGCATCACCAGTGGTCACTCCTGAGTGTATGAGCCAGGAGTAACCCCTGTGCATCGTCGGGTGACCCAAAAAGCAAAAAAAAAAAAGTTTAAGTTGTACTGAAGTTGTAATGACTGACTGTTTTAGCTTCTGTGACTCTGGTAAGTTTCTAATGGGCATCTTTTGTCCAGGAAGGAACTGGAGCCACACTTTGCAGTGGGGCTCTTACTGACTTGGTCTCTGTGCTCTGCAGTGACACCTGGTGGTACTAAGGGAATATATGTGCTGTATGGGATGCTAGGGATCAAGCCTGAGTCAGCTTCATTGAAGAGCAAGTGCCCTACGTTTTCTTACAGATGAAGAATGAGCGTAATTTTTTTAGTATCGTCCATACTGTTTTCCAAAAGGGTTTAACCAGTCAGTATTCCCACTCCCATTTGACCCAGCAGCACCACTCCTGGGAATATATCCTGGAGAGGAAAATAAAATTATAGTTGAAATGACATCTGCACTTGTATGTCCATTGCTGCACTGTTCACAATAGCCAAAATTTGGAAAAAACCCAAGTTCCTGAGAACAGATGACTGGTTAAAGAAACTTTGGTACATCTACACAATGGAATCCTATGCAGCTGTTAGAAAAGATGAAGTCATGAAATTTGCATACAAGTGGGAAGTATCATGCCAAGTGAAAAGAGTCAGAAAGAGAGGGACAGACATAGGAAGACTACACTCAACTGGGGAATATAAAGTAACAGAATCGGAAACAGACACCCAAGAATAGTTGATATAAGTACCAGGAGGTCTGCTCCATGGCTTGAAAGCTGGTAGCACATGCTGGGGGGAAAAGGTAGCTCAGATAGAGAAGGGAACACCAAGTAAAGGATGTTTGGAGGATTTGATCAGGATGTGAGATGCGTGCTGAAAGTAGACTATAGACCAAACATGATGGCCACTCAATACCTCTATTGCAAACCACAACATCCTAAAGGAAAGAGAGAGCAAAAGGAAATTTCCTGCCACAGAGGTGGGGTGGGGCGGGGAGATGGGGTGAGAGGTGGGAGGGCTACTGGGATCTTTGGTGGTGGAGAATGGGCATTGGTGGAGGGATGGGTACTCGACCATTATAACTGAAACCCAAGAACTAAAATTTATAAGTCTAAAACTGTATACCTCATGTTGTTTCACTAATTGAAAAAATATCACACACACACAAAAATGAGCATATTTAATATAAACTGTTTTGCTTCTCCTCTCTTTTCAAATGACAATTGAGTCACACAGTAATTTTTTTGAATGTTACAAATGTAAGGTACTGGGTTAATTTTGGTTGAAGTCTATAAAGAGTTAAAAGTAAATGAACTGAAGTGTATGGAAGGAAATTTGAGAATAATAGACTGGATGGTTAAGCTTAGAGATTCCATGGCAGTTCTGTTAATGCTGGTCTAAAAATACAACTGTGAGTGCCTGTAATTTAAGGTTAGTAGGTCCCTTACCTTGACTGACAGGCATGTGATTTTGACACGAGTGACTATCAGATATTTTACCAGGAAGAATAATTACTAATTCTATTCCCATTTGGAGAAAAATATAAATTAGTTAATGATTTTCTTTCCTTATCATTTTTAATTTAATGATCCTTAAAATGTTAGAGAGATGTTTGCTCTTAGAATTACAAAAGAGTCAAGTGGTATGTTTAAAAAAAATTAATGGATTTTTAAGTCACTGTGTCTTGAAAGGTTAACAGATTTCTATGGTCATTCTAATTTATGGGCAGGAATGCTTTTTGAATAGATGTCACATAAATGTTTTAGATACAAATTATATTTGTCAGATAAATAGTAACTTACATTTATAATATATAGACATTTGAGAGTACCTATTATGCCTCTGTAATATTACTTGTGGTAGTGAACTCTAGTAATTTGCTAATTCTTCTGTGCTAAAGACACAAATTAAATATAAAAGAAATGCCAATTAAATACCATGTTTAATCCAGTCATTAGTTATTCTCTTTATGTAGTGTTTTCCACTGCAATGCTTAAATTACCTTAGTTAAAAAATGTTCACCCATATGACTTGTATAAATGAAGATTGTCAATGTCACATTGAAATAATTTAGTGTATATAAAAATAAAGTTTATATTGTCATTTTAACATTTCTAATGCTGTATATTAAAAGATAATCATATGACCTCTATATTTAACATCTATTATGCTCATTAAAAAGTATTATATGGACTTGTAAGTACAGGATGGAGTCAGATTAAAAGGGCTTCTTCATAATATTTGTCTTTAAATTGAGGCCGGGGCAAAGATAGTGGTCATTCTGGGTCTAAATCAGAAAAGCTGATTCAAGCAAAGAATGAATATATAAGACACATGTTAGTTTCTTGCTTTTACTTTTTCATTTTTGATGAATATTTCATCGAAAATATTCATCATTTTAGCTGAATATTATTCATCATAATAGCTGAACATTTATTTCAGCTATGATAAGCTCATAGCTGAAATAAAAATCAATAGTGAAAACTGAAAGTTTTCTTCTACCATGAGGAGCAAGACAGGTTTCCCTTTGCTATTCTGCACACTATTGAAGTTCCTGACCAGATAAGTTAGACAAATAAATAAATAGAAGTGAATTCAAACAGGAAAGGAATAAATAAAATTGCCACTCTCTGTGGATTGACTGATATTATAGTTTAAAAATCCTGAAGGCTCTGCCGAAAAGACTATGAATAAAAACAAAGTGAAGGGTACAAAAACCAATATATGAAAGTATTTTTTATTTCTAGATGCAGATGATGATCTAGCAGAAAAGAAGGAAACACAATTATTTGTGAGCCCAGATTAGCCCTATTTATATGTATGTTTATATGACATATGACAGAGGAATTGAGCATATGATGGGGAAAGAAAAGTTTCTTCAATAAATTGTTCTAGGGAAACTGAATTTTCATTATCACATGCAAAGACGGACTAACATCATATGCAATAAATAAAAGTTAATATAAAGTAATAGTATCTGAGCATACTATCTAAAATAATAATCATAGGGACATCTTTGCTAAAGTTCCTAATGGAAGGAAAACAAAATAAAATATAAACTAATGGGACTATATGAAAATTAAAATATTCTAGATTTTGTTCAAATAAAAATGTCACTGTTACTTTTATGGGAGAAGATATTTGCAATCTGTATATCATAAAAAAGACTGATATGTAAAACACATTAAAATAACTCATACAACACAATAATAATAAATTATATAATATGATTACAAAGTGGACATGGTATATAAACATGCTTGTCACTAACAGTGAAATCCATGCATGAAGTCAATAGAACATAGACATATTTAATTTGGTATTTAAAATAAAATATATTTATATGTGTGATTATGGTCCTTGTGCAGGGACCATGCTGATCTTCTCTGTATCGTTCCAATTTTATTATATGTGCTGTGGCCTAGAGTGCTAGCACAGCAGGTAGGGCGTTTGCTTGCACGTGGCCAACCTGGGTTCAGTTCCTCCACCCCTCTTGGAGAGACCAGCAAGCTATAGAGAATATCTCGCCCGCATGGCAAAACCTGGCAAGCTACCCGTGACATATTCGATATGCCAAACACAGTAACAACAAGTCTCACGATGGAGACGTTACTGGGCCTGCTCTAGAAATTCGATGAACAACGGGAAGACAGTGACAGTGGCAGATATTTATTTAAAAATTTCAATAATTCTAGATGTTTTTTTAAAAATATATGTTAAAATATATACAAGTGAAAAATGGATCAGATTTTATGTAGTTTGTATGTAAAGTTTTTAACTTTGTGATATCATATAAGTGAGTTGTGACAGGTGAAAAGAGTTTAATACTGGACCTTGGACACCATAAAAGTAGAAAAGGGGAGGAAGGAAAGCTAAAGGGGACAAGATCAGGGACTGGTAAAATAGATGTGAGGAAAATTATGTGATTATGCATTGTTAATCCAAATAAAATGAGAGTAGATATGCAAATTGATTTTGAGAAATCAAATAAATGAAGGTAGAGTAAAAACATCTAATAAATTTATCATTGTGAAAATTATTGGTAACCGCAAAAGAGTTTCTTATCACAAGGGTAGAAAAACATGTTTGGAACAGTTTTAAAATGCAATAAAAAAAATCCCAAAGAAAAGAATAGCACTCTAACGTCGTCCAGTTGTTCATGGATTTCCTTGAGCGGGCACCAGTAAAGTCTTCACTGTGAGACATGTTACTGTTTTGGGCATATCAAATACACCACATGGATCTTCCCAGGCTCTGCTGTGTGGGCAGGATGCTCTTGGTAGCTTGCCAGGCTCTCCAAGAAACTATGAGAAACAAGAAATGCATATGTTAGTATTGAGGATATTATACCATATTTATATACCTATTTGGGAAATGCCCAAGGAAAAGAAATAATTTATAATATAAAATGAATTATTTCTGAACTGTTATCATAATTTGTTGAGAGGGCTTGGGAAAGAACCTTATTAAACATCTTCTAACAGTATGAGAATAACGTGTTCCTTTCAAATCACATTTATTTCACCAGAACTTAGTCACATTATTCCACCACATAAAAAGGTCACAGTCCTCCCGTTATTCATCGATTTGCTCGAGGAGGCCCAGTAACGTCTCCATTGTGACAATTGTTACTGTGTTTTGGCATATTGAATATCGAATATGCCACGGGGAGCTTGCCAGTCTTTTCCGTGCGGGCGAGATACTCTTGGTAGGTTGCCGGGCTCTCCGAGAGGGGCGGCCGTGCAGGCGAGATACTCTCGGTAGCTTGCCGGGCTCTCAGAGAGGGGTGGAGGAATTGAACTCGGGTCGGCCATGTTAGCTGCATGCAAGGCAAACACCCTACTGCTGTGCTATCGCTCCAGTCCACATAAAAAGGTAACTAGGAAAAATAGTTTTAGTTGTGTATCCAGTAATAAAGTAAGAGTTGGTATACATATTTTAAAATATCTGTCATAAAAATAGAGCCTTTAACTTTTTTTATTCCTTTCAAAAGTATACTATCTCGGCTTAAGTTACTAGGTAGTAAGTACACAGTTGATATTAGTCTGATTAAATTAATGTTTACAGAAATTACTTATTTTGAACACTAGTTATTGCTTTTTACTTATCACGGTCATGGTCATGGTCCTTCCATTGTTCATCAATTTGCTCGAGCGGGCCCAGTAATGTCTCCATCATAAGACTTGTTGTTACTGTGTTTGGCATATCGATTACATCACGGGTAGCTTGCCAGGCTCTGCCATGCGGGCAAAATACTCTCGGTAGCTTGCCGGGCTCCCCAAGAGGGGTGGAGGAATTGAACTCGGGTCGGCCATGTTGGCCGCTTGCAAGGCAAACGCCTGACCGCTGTGCATAATTTAATTGGTATCTTAAACTATTGTTCAGATGTGACTTATGAAACATTGCTTCCTGCTATGTTTGAAAATTAAAATAATATTTAATAATTCTTGATATTTTAACATTTTTCTAATTTTCTATGATTACTAGAGATAACCAAACATAAATTCAGACCCACTGAATAATACTCTCAGTGACTTAGAGTATAATTCACTTCTGCCAAAAATCTTAACTCTTTTACCATATATGTTTTTCTTGAAATCATACATCATAGATAGCTTACTAGTGGTTTGTGCAAGTAATATGAGTTATAGCTGCATAAATGAAAAAGATGACAATAAAGATAGATACTAACGCATGCAATAACAAAAATATCCCATTAAATTTGTGTGTATATATAATTTATATGGATATTCTTGTGAAATATATATTTATATATTAACAATGTTTTTAACCATTTTTATTATATTTAAACTATGTTGAGTTTAGATTATTCCTTTTAAAAGTTCACTCATCCTTATTCTTGCTTTGAAATATAAATAAAATGCATTCTCTTTGATGGAATAGTCCAAATAAAAGTGATTTGGTTGTGGAGTAACACAGAAATAAGAGATGTAGACTTGTACAAGACTATCATGTTCTTGGACATTATTTGTTTTGGAAGAAGACTAACCAGAAAAAAAAATTACCTGATATGCTTTTGAACTCATTTCAATGGTTGTGTTACATTTTGCAGCATGCAGGTATCAGGGTTTACTCTTTGCTCTCCATTCAGGGGTCTGTGCTCTTGGTGCTTAGGGAACCATATACAGTGTTAAGGACTGAACCAGTGTCTGCCACATGCCCACAAGCATCTTATCCCCTGATTATCTCTTCAACCCCTTTACTGTATTACAGGGTAATATACATTGTTCTAGGGAAATATTAGAAATGGAAAGTTAGGCATCTGTCATAGCTTTCTAGCAATATATTCTTGACTGTAACTTAAAACAGACTTTGAGAATGTGGTAAAAAAGCGATTGGTCCAGGGTCAGTTTGACAATTGAAAATATGAAAATCATTTATCTATCAAAAATGTTTCCTGAATTTGGTTCATATTGGTGAACAAAGCAGATTTAAATCGATGCTGTCTTAAACTTAATGTCCCAGAGAGGTAGAGAATGAATAATAGACATATTAAGTAAGCGAAGTACAATGAATGAAACAGCTTTCCTAGTAACAAATTTGTGTGATAACTAGCAAATAATTAAACAAATGCAGAATATTTGAAATAAGTGGTGACATTAATAAATACTAGATTATGAATATCTTGGGAGTGAAAGTAAAATTCATTTGAATAGATACAATTAAATATATTTGTTTAGAAAAATGTATTCTAAAAGTTTCATTCTCTGTACCTCATGGTCCTCAAAACATTGCTGGATGCATTCTTGGGGCCTTTGAGCGCTGTAGGATATGGCCTTGGAGGTCCCCATAGAGGTAACTTTAGTGTCACTCAGCAGTGCCTGAACAGCATTGTATGGTCCAGTAGCCTGAGAATCTCTGGTGCGTTTATGGCTATCAAGAACACTACTTGAGAGTCTCTACCCGAAGAAAATAGCACTTGCATAAAATACTGAGAAGATGTATTAGAGTAATACCAAGGAGAACTGTGAATGATTTATTATTTTATTTTTGAGATAATTGTGGTCCTACTGAGTTTTAGTTTCATAGATAATTATGATAACCATCTCATTTGAGAAATATGACTAAATTCAAAGCAACATATAATAGATTAAAGATGAAACCTTGATTCCAACAAATACAAATATGACAACTTTTCTTTTTTTTTTTAATGTCATTATGTGTGTGTATGTTTGTATTTGTCCCGTTTACTTCCTGGTCTATTGTTCATCAATTCTAAACCAGAAAGCTTGATATTATCTCTTGATTGTCATTGATGCAGACTTCTTGTTGGAACATGATTTAGAGATAGGTTCAATAGTATACACTTAGTTGGAACATGCTTTAGGGAAAAGGCCATGAGGCAAGTTCTGATAGATTACGTGAGAATCTGTAATGTAATATTAACATTTTAAAATAAAAACCAGGATCTGGGAAATAGTATAGGGGTTAAGGGAAATGCAAGTCAAGGATTGGGCTGATCAAACTCACTTAGATTTATTTCCTGTCCATACAGGTCAAAAATTAATGTTCAGGTACACACTTTCTCAGTATCTTATGAATTCAAAGATGGAAGTTACCTAGAGTTGTCAATAGAATTGGAAATGATGCATAAGAAATAAATATGATCCTCAGTAATTATATCGAACATGAGGTGAATCTCTGTTTCATGTATACTTCAGAGAATGACATGTTCTTCTGGCTATTATGGGCTGATTTGACAGATTTGAGCTTTAGCTATTGGAAGAGTATTGAATTTATCTTAGCCGGAAAGACTTTTAGTAGTTGATATGAAATTAGGAGAAAACGTGGGCTAACTTAGAAATTTGAAGACTATATGGAAGAGAATGGTAGTACAGTGAATAGTGTGCTTGTCTTGTACACTGCTGATTCAGATTCAATCCTTGGCACTCCATATATTTCCCGAGGAGTGACCTGAGAGCGCGTAACCAGGAAAAAGTTCTGAACACTGCCAGTTTTGACCCCAAAGGCAAAACAAATATGTTAACTATTATAGCAATGATTTTATTTGTTAGTATAATCATATAAAGTTTACAGAAGATATTTCCTAAGCTGTCATGTTAAACTTGTTATTTCATGACTAATTCTATTAGTATTTTATCACCCTTTCAAAAACCTAAGACCTTTCATATATTAAACCTATTTTATTCGTTTTAATCTTTCATTTGCTGGGGTGAGGGGGTGTCACAGTGCAGTACTCTTTCTGGTTCTAGGCTTAAAAGTGACCCCTGGTGGTACCTCTTTATAAAATAAAAATTATGTAAGTAGAGAGAAATAGTAAATACAATCAATGAGTAAATGTTTAGATTAAAAGTGTTAGATGTCTTGTTATAAATTATAGTTTGCCTTTGATTATTTCTATGATTCTTTAACATGATTCTCTTTAACATATGCTCTTATCTTGCCTATTTCAGT